TTACAGTTTCCAATCAAGGCTCTTCATCGGTATCATCCAGAGAATCACCATCTAATCTACCAGCTCCAGATTCTGATGCTGCTGATGTTCACACACACACACCCGTCTCCGTCTGAAGATTTCACTTCATACACTAAACGCATCCTACGTATGGCTAAGTCACTGGAATTAGACAGAGAACAACCACCTCCTCCCAAACATGATCTGGTGTTTGAGGACATCAATCAGGAAAAATCATCACCATTAAGCCTGACATTCATCCCACCCATGTTGGATATGATTAAGGAGTCCTGGGAAAAGCATTCTACTTCATTACAAATTTCTGGACGAGTGGAAAATCATTACCGCACTCACGGATCTGATACATTGTTTCTAATCAAACATCCTCCACCTAATTCAATCATTGTCCAGTCAAACCAATCAAGAGCTGGAAATTGATCAACTATAACCCCAACAAATAAGGAGGGAAGAAAACTAGATGTGCTTGGACGCTGTTTATATTCCCTTGCTTCTTTTCTAATGAGGGTCTCAAATTACCAGGCCGCAATGCAACTTACCACAGGCAACTGTGGAACAAGATCCTGCCCATCCTTCAAGACGCCCTTGAAGATGTCAGAGCCGCAGCCCTTAACACCCATTTGGAAGCCACTACTTTAGCTAAGCAGCAGCGCCTGGCATCTCAACACACAGCTGATGCTGCCTCATTGTCTATGGCGTCTTCTATCATCCTGAGGCGACATGCATGGCTGTGATCATCTGGTATCACAGACAATGCTAGGACCCACATCGAAGATCTACCATTTGACTGTGTGGGTCTTTTCAACGCAAAAACTGATGAGGCAATGGAAATTTTGTGCAAGATTCGGAAGACAGCTCGATCTTATGTCAACCAACAACAACCTAGGTACCAGTGCAATCAGTGGCACAAACCCTTCACATTCCATGTCCTACCATCATCCCTACCACCAATACAAACCTCAGTCTCAGGCTCCTAAAAGATCCAGTTTTTCTCAACCATCTTCCGCTGCTCCTCCTTTCTGATCCCAGGTCCCTCAACAACGAAGACAAGATTTCCGTCGACCTGCAAGAAAATCAAAACAATACCTTTGACTCCCTTCTAACAAACTATCATCATCACCCCTGACTAGCACCCTTTCTCAGCAAGTGGTCCACCATCACCAAGGACACTTGGGTGCTAGCCATCATATGTTTCGGCTACCTGTTGGAATTCATGGAACTTCGTCCTCTCAGTCATGTCAGACCTACAACATACTCACCTTCTCTAGAGGACGAGGTTTCGCTCCTTCTTCAAAAGTGTGCTGTTCAGAAGATGCCCCCTTAGGACATTCTAAACAGCTTCTACTCACGATATTTCACTGTGCCCAAAAAGGATGGAGGACTCCGTCCTATTTTAGACCTGCCTCTGCTGAACACCTACATTCATCCAAGGTGTTTTCACATGGTCATCCTCAAATCAATCATCCCTGTTCTACAGCTAGGCAATTCGTTCGTGGTCATAGATCTTCAGGATGCATATTTTCATATTTCCATCCACAAAGATAGTTTCAAATACCTTTGATTCTTCTTCATGGACACTGCATACCAATTCTGTGCCCTTCCATTCAGCCCATCTACTGCTCCAAGGACATTCACAAAGTGTATGGCTCCAGTCGCTGCATACTTTTGTCTACACAACATCACAGTGTTCCCATATATAGACGACTGGTTGATAGTAGCAAAATCATGCAGCGCAGCCATAAAAGACACAACCTTTCTCCTACAAACTTTAGCGGAGCTTGGTCTTCAGGTCAGTCACAAAAAGTCTCGTTTGCAACCATCTCAGAAAGTAGATTACATCAGAGCACACCTCGATTCCACTGTAGCCAGGGTGTTCACCCCTCAAGAACGAATCATCAAATTAAAACAAGCCATTCGTCCCTTTTTGCGTTGCACCACAGTCACTGCCCACCATAGGCAACACATACTAGGCCTGATGGCATCAACTACATTGGTTATTCAGCATGTGAGGCTGAAGATGAGGTCTTTACAGGCATGGTACCTGTCCACATTCAACCCTCTGATAGACCATCCAGCCAAGCATCTTTCAGTGACTCCAGAGTTGGCATGGAAACTAACTTGGTGGACATTTGTCCCTCACCTCATTGTAGGCCGCCCATTCAGGCGTCTTCAACTCATGATCCAAATCACAACAGATGCCAGCCCAACAGGATCTGGTGCACACTGTGGTCGTCGTCAGATCCACACATTGTGGTCAAGCTCAGAGACTGCTGCACATAAATCAGCTAGAGCTGCTAGCAGTCATCAAATCTTTTTGAGCTTTCCAATTCATGATAACAGGTCATGGGGTCCAAGTCATCATGGACAATGTGACCACCATGTATTACATGAACAAACAGGGTGGTACGCACTCCTTACATCATCATTACCTAGCAATCCAATTGTGGGAGTGGTGTTACAACCACCACATCTTCCCAGTGGCTCTTCATGTCGCTACAGAAGACAACAAGGTTGCCAACCATCTGAGCTGTCTAACCACCCAGGCTCACAAGTGGACCCTCAGCGACAACGTCTTCTCTCATCTCTGCTGTTGGTGGAGGACGCCAGGCCTGGACATCTTCACCACCCAAATCAACACCAAGTGCAGCAGATACGGCTCCAGAGCGGGACGAGGGGAAGACTCTCTAGGCGATGCCTTCATGGTGGATTGGGACAACACCCTACTTTACCTGTTTCTACCCATTCCACTTATCCAGAGGATAATAATCAGGATCCATTAACTGGATCGAGATGCCATATTCATAGCACCATGGTGGCCTCATCAACCATGGTCCACCACTCTCAGGACCATGACCTCCAAATTTCTGACGTTACCACTTCAAACTTCTATACTCACTGAGGACGAGGGTCAGATCTGCCATCCCAGCCTCATCTCTCTACACCTGACTGTGTGGAGAATTCTGCCAAAGTGGCTGAAGTCCTGAATAGAGCAAAGAAACCATCAACTCAATTATTGTATTCCTACAAATGGAAATCCTTTATCAAATTTGCTCAATCACAGAAATTGCCCACAATTCCAGTTTCTTTAGATGCCCTCCTTAAGTTTCTTTGTTACCTGTTTGACCAAGTTTTGGCTCATTCAACTTTAAAAGTTTATATTTCTGCAATAGTTTCTTATCAACCTGAAGCGTCTGAAGCCTTCCATTTGTTCTCTCATCCCACATTAAAGAGATTTCTCAGAAGACTGTGAAATATGTGTCCACCTGTCCGACCTCCACTTCCCCAGTGGTCTCTCTTCATGCACTTGGTCGCCCTCCATTTGAGCCCATGGCTTCTGCAAACTTTTGTCCATCAAAACATTGTTCCTTGTGTCGATAACCTCTGCACGTCGGGCAAGTGAACTGGCTGCTCTTCGAGCTGATGACCCATATATTAAATTTTTCCCTGACAAGGTTGTATTATATCCAGATGTGTCTTTCCTTTCCCAAAGTGATCTCTGGTTTCCACATTAATCAACCTCTAATTCTCCCAACGTTATTCCCTAATCCATCTTCTGATGTTGGGCGCATGCTCCACTCCCTCGATGTTCATCGTGCCCTGACATTTTATGTTTCAAGAACTAAATATTTCCTTCTTTCTCCCAGACTTTTTGTCTGTTTCCATAAACCACAAAAGGGTTCTTCCTCCTCACAGACACTATCAAAGTAGATTGTCTCAGCCATTACACTGTCTTATGAATTGGCAGGCAAGGCTCCACCAGATGTGCTAAAGGCGCACTCTACCAGAGCGATGGCAACATCTACAGCTTTGTTGCGTGGTGTTGAAGTCCCTGACATCTGTCAAGCGGCCAGTTGGTCTACACCCTCGATTTTTGTGACACACTGTTGTCTCGATGTTGGGGCCAAGAAGGAAGCAAGTTTCAGAAGAGCTGTGCTGACTTTGTTGTTGGCGTGACAGCCCTCCTCCCAGTAAGTGAGCTTGCTAGGGACCCATTTGTGTGTATTCACAGAGGCCACGAAGAAGGAAGAGAGGTTGCTTACCTGTAACCATGGTTCTTCGAGTGGTCCTCTGTGAATCCACACATCCCGCCCAGCCTCCCCACTGTCCGTCACTTGTTGTCTTGAGTTTTATGGGGGTCAGAGCTTTTGACAGCAGCGGACATTCAGAACTGAGGCAACGAGCAGGTGGAGCATGTGCACCAGGGGGCAGTGTCCTACTAATAATGTTTTTTAAGCTCTAGAATAGTCTGAGAAGTCCTGCACAGGCACAGTAAACCCATTTGTGTGGATTCACAGAGGACCACTTGAAGAA